TTTCTATTAGCCCCCAGTCCGTTCCTGGAACTGGTTAAGAAAACCAGGCATCCTGGCTTCCAGCCCACAATCTAACCACTAGACCCCACTCTCTTCCCAGAACGGGGAACAGGACCCCAATCTCAACCACTCTGTGCCGGGGCCTGAGCCACTGCGGAGCAGCCCCCCCCTCTCTGCCCGAATGCCCTGCGCTCAGAGCCCAGCCCAGAGGCCCTCGGCTGGACTGACTTTGTGGTGCCAGCTGCGCCAGCCACGGGGCCTGCCTGCAATGACACAGCACCAGCTGCCAGGCCTCCTGAGACCCGCCTCTGCAGGGCAGAGCAGCAAGCCTGGGCATTTAGTGGATCTGGCTGGTAGGAGGAGCCCCCCATGCTGCCCCACCCTGGTCCAGCCACTCCATGCCAGCCCCACACAGCCCCCCTGCTGTTGCCCACACTTGATCCCCAGCCCAGGCATCACGCAACATGGGGCTGGGGTCTTTCCATGCCTCCAAGGGGAGACGTGCCCGGCTGCCAGGCTCTGGGGCATGGAGACGTTGAGTGGGGTGGGGGGCTATGCTTCCTCCTCCAGTCTTCGTCTGGTTCGTCTGGCTGACCACTGTGGCAGGGATTCTCAGTAGCTTTGTGAAACCGGCTCCTCATCTCAGCAACTGTATCCGGGCAGCCTCCGAACAAAGAATATGTGGGCAGGGAGGAAACTGAGGCACGGCCAGGCCACTGACTTGCTTGACCAGCAGCTCCAGAGTTTAGCCAACTCCTTCCTTCTGGGCCAGCAGGCGCCCAGCTGTGAGCCCATCTCCCAAAGCACCCAGCAGCTGCCCCTCCTCCCACATGCACCAGGGGAGCATTTTAACCCCTTTTCACCCTGTTGGGATGGGCATTGGCCTCAGGCTCCCGGGTCAGCCCCTTTTCCTGGTCTCAGCCTCCTCACTCCTCCTTGCCCAGATGAGACTGATCCTTCTCACAGGCCCTACCCCCCAACCTGGGGGCAGCCCCAGTTATCTCATGTGTCATGCCCTCAGGTGTCTGGGGCCAAAACACATCTGGAGTGAGTCATCCTCAGCCTCTCCCCTCTCATGCAGAGAGTGCTGGGGGGGGGGGACTGAGGTACACACACACAGCACAATACTGCAAAACAGCGCCCCCTAGAGGTCGCCGCAGAGAGCTGGGGGGGCTGCGTGCTCCACAGCGCCCCCTAGAGGTCGCCGCAGAGAGCTGGGGGGGCTGCGTGCTCCACAGCGCCCCCTAGAGGTCGCCGCAGAGAGCTGGGGGGGCTGCGTGCTCCACAGCGCCCCCTAGAGGTCGCCGCAGAGAGCTGGGGGGGCTGCGTGCTCCACAGCGCCCCCTAGAGGTCGCCGCAGAGAGCTGGGGGGGCTGCGTGCTCCACAGCGCCCCCTAGAGGTCGCCGCAGAGAGCTGGGGGGGCTGCGTGCTCCACAGCGCCCCCTAGAGGTCGCCGCAGAGAGCTGGGGGGGCTGCGTGCTCCACAGCGCCCCCTAGAGGTCGCCGCAGAGAGCTGGGGGGGCTGCGTGCTCCACAGCGCCCCCTAGAGGTCGCCGCAGAGAGCTGGGGGGGCTGCGTGCTCCACAGCGCCCCCTAGAGGTCGCCGCAGAGAGCTGGGGGGGCTGCGTGCTCCACAGCGCCCCCTAGAGGTCGCCGCAGAGAGCTGGGGGGGCTGCGTGCTCCACAGCGCCCCCTAGAGGTCGCCGCAGAGAGCTGGGGGGGCTGCGTGCTCCACAGCGCCCCCTAGAGGTCGCCGCAGAGAGCTGGGGGGGCTGCGTGCTCCACAGCGCCCCCTAGAGGTCGCCGCAGAGAGCTGGGGGGGCTGCGTGCTCCACAGCGCCCCCTAGAGGTCGCCGCAGAGAGCTGGGGGGGCTGCGTGCTCCACAGCGCCCCCTAGAGGTCGCCGCAGAGAGCTGGGGGGGCTGCGTGCTCCACAGCGCCCCCTAGAGGTCGCCGCAGAGAGCTGGGGGGGCTGCGTGCTCCACAGCGCCCCCTAGAGGTCGCCGCAGAGAGCTGGGGGGGCTGCGTGCTCCACAGCGCCCCCTAGAGGTCGCCGCAGAGAGCTGGGGGGGCTGCGTGCTCCACAGCGCCCCCTAGAGGTCGCCGCAGAGAGCTGGGGGGGCTGCGTGCTCCACAGCGCCCCCTAGAGGTCGCCGCAGAGAGCTGGGGGGGCTGCGTGCTCCACAGCGCCCCCTAGAGGTCGCCGCAGAGAGCTGGGGGGGCTGCGTGCTCCACAGCGCCCCCTAGAGGTCGCCGCAGAGAGCTGGGGGGGCTGCGTGCTCCACAGCGCCCCCTAGAGGTCGCCGCAGAGAGCTGGGGGGGCTGCGTGCTCCACAGCGCCCCCTAGAGGTCGCCGCAGAGAGCTGGGGGGGCTGCGTGCTCCACAGCGCCCCCTAGAGGTCGCCGCAGAGAGCTGGGGGGGCTGCGTGCTCCACAGCGCCCCCTAGAGGTCGCCGCAGAGAGCTGGGGGGGCTGCGTGCTCCACAGCGCCCCCTAGAGGTCGCCGCAGAGAGCTGGGGGGGCTGCGTGCTCCACAGCGCCCCCTAGAGGTCGCCGCAGAGAGCTGGGGGGGCTGCGTGCTCCACAGCGCCCCCTAGAGGTCGCCGCAGAGAGCTGGGGGGGCTGCGTGCTCCACAGCGCCCCCTAGAGGTCGCCGCAGAGAGCTGGGGGGGCTGCGTGCTCCACAGCGCCCCCTAGAGGTCGCCGCAGAGAGCTGGGGGGGCTGCGTGCTCCACAGCGCCCCCTAGAGGTCCCCGCAGAGAGATGGGGGCTGCGTGCCCCACAGCGCCCCCTAGAGGTCCCCGCAGAGAGCGGGGGGGGCTGCGTTTCCCATGCTGGGCACTGCTTCACCCTGTAGGCTGAGCGTGCGCGCCAGGCCAGGGCAGAACAGGTGATCTGCACACGCCACCACTACCCCAGCCACGCCGTCCCCACAGCTCCGCCCCGTCCCCACAATCCTGAGCTGCATTGTGATGTCACCCTGGCCCCGAGGTTCTCCCTGGAGCAGCCAACCCACCACACGGCTGAGAACGGGCAGAACGCGTCTTGCCGGGCTGCGTCATGGCGCTCCTGGCGCCCCTCGTGCTGGGGGCCTGGCTGGCGGCGGGTGCGGGAGGCTGCCTGCAGTGCGACCGGCAGATCCGCAGCACCCTGGAATCACTCCGCACCAACCTGGTGCCCCGGCAGATCCGTGACACCCGGCTGCGGGCGCGAGCCCAGGCCCTGCTGCGCGGCATGGAGGACGGGTTCTTCCGCCACTACGCCGCCCGCCAGG